TAAGAGGCAAAGAAGAGAGGAAACCCCTGAAGGGGACTCTCCCTCCAACCAATAACTGCCTCCCCACCCCCTTCTCCCCCTTCCCGCTCTGCCCGCTGCACTGTTTTTCATGTTTTTGTGGTGTAAAAATAAAATGCATATGTTTCAGAACGGATTGTACCGTTCATTGAACCTTATAGGGAAATTTGCCTCGGGTTACGACCAACTCGGGATACGCCCAGAGTCACGGAACAGATTAAGTTTGTATCCCGAGGTACTACTGTATCTTCTACATCATCCCAAAGAGGAACATGATGTCCATCCAACTCCAGTGCTTCCAAACGTAGAGACAGGCAGCTTATCACTCTTGCCCAAGGGAAAAACTGCAAACATTTTGTGAGTGGATTCTTTTTTGTAGCTCAGGTTTCTATGAAAGGCAAGATTAAAATTGTTTTTTGCATGGATGGCTTAATTTCATTTTTCAGGCTAGCCAAGCCCTGGCATCTTCATTTAAAAGAATGAGAGAGCAATTGAGATGAAGGCAATTTTACTTAAGACTTTGGAAATTTATTCTCTGTCAGAGGTGTGCCAAAGGTCTGAAGTGGTATGAGGCAATGTCCTACATATTGTAGAGAAAAGGAGCTGGGTTAAAGAAGAAAGTCTTTCCAGTCACATCAAATCTGCTGGAATGGAATGTCAGCTACAAAAGCTATTATGATAATTTATTCACTTGTCTTTAAGGAGTTACAAGACTCAGTTGCTTTCACCGGAGAGCATTATTCTGGAAACAGCAATTAATGGAAGTAAAGATGGCTTCTGCGAAATAAATTGTGCATCTTTAAGAAAAAAGTTTTTATTTTGAGCTCTTATGATTTGAAAATACAAACAAATATTCTGGGATGAGTACAGCCATAAGAATAATTGAATTATATAAGCCATTACTATCTCCTGGTCTGTGACCTTATTTATTTATTGTGAAACCATTTCACCCAGATGTCAATATTGAAACTATTCCAAAACAGGATTGTACCATTTGGGTCTTCATTTCCTGGTCTGGTGTCCTTAGGACTTCAACGCAGCTGCCTGTGTGGGACTTGAAGCAGTCTTTAGTAAATCCATGCATTTCAAAGCAGTCTTGTTAGTAAATCCGTGAACAGCACAAATAGCCTGGTGTTAACAAGAAATAAGAATAATTGGAGGTTATAACTCTTGACTTATTCTGTGTAGTTTTATCTTTTCCTGAATTTCTCATAAGTCACAGCAACTACTGCCTCTAACTTCCCATCAAATGGGATGGGGTTTGCTCTCTGTTTATATACTGTGGCATGCCATTCTAGCACTGAAGATGTTACCTAGCCAGGTAACAAAACGTTTGCAAGAAAACAACCAAGCTCAGAGAACCCCAAGGCCTCCCTGGAATCATTGTGTAGTACCTGGCCCTCAAAAAGTTGTCCCCTGTAAGTCAAATGTTTCTTCCATTTCATTTTTGAGATAGAATCAAATCCATACAGTAAGAAGACAGAAGAAATTAAACTTTACTCTTTATTTCAAAAATGCAGCATTCTGATTCCCAGACCAAGCAACTCAGCCATGTGTCTACTACCTTTCTGTATAAATTTTCCTTTGCATATCACAGTATCATTTTGTATTGAAGTTTCATACTATAATACTTCTGATTGTCTTCTCAGCTTATTAAAGCAGCAGCTCTGGCCATTATGCTGCAGCTTTTATTCCCATATTGAAAGTCAGAAATTATGTGGTTTCATAAGGAGTGGAAATGTAGGATATGCCTGAGCTGATAAGAACATTTACAGTCCTCATTACTGTTTGATTAACACAGAGGAAGTCAGAGAATGAGGGGAAAAAATTTAAAATGGCACCTCTTTCCTTTTCTTTGTGTGGTTCTGTTTTGTGCAGTTTATATAAGAATCTTTCTACTGCCTCAATTTGTAAAGCATACTAAATAAAATGAATGTGTGTGGGAGGAGTAATTATTATTAAGGTTACCTGCAGGTAAGCAGAAGTAAAATTTAAATGAACCAACTTAGTTTCTTCAGTGTTAATGGTTTTAAGAAGCTGGGAGCATCATAGACTGCCAAATCCTGAATCGCCATATCAGCCTAGTCCTCAGTAACTAGTTAGGTTTTGGTAGTGATGCTTACTGTAATAGTTAGGTCTGATTAAGCTTTCTTCAGAGGAATAGTATTGCCTCACAGAATGGGCTGTGTTTCTTTCCTTCAAATTCTTACATGTTTTTCTTCCTGTTATTTTGGAAGGTATAATTCAGAGACAAAGATAGTAAAAGTTGAAGATAACAATGGAGTACAAGTCAACTTTACTTTGAGTCGAAAAGGCTCCAAAGTTGAAGAAGGGTCGGCACCACATGTGAACATGGCAGACTCTAATGGGCCAGTCACCAAGGAGTTTGAAACCTTGATCAAAGACCTCTCAGCAGAGAATGGCTTGGAACATCTCCTCTTGGCTTCTTCAGCTGATGTTCAGCCTTCCCGTTATCGTCCCTACAACGATCTGTCTATGTTCCTTAGAGGCTTGAATTTGAATTATCCAGAAATCACAAATCTTGTTAGGTATGTGACACTGTTTGGGGATGTTTACATTTTGGAAAAATCACAGCTGTGTTCCATCATTGTGTCACAGATGTATTCCTGGAAGAAAGTTAAAAAAAAAAATGACCTGATTTAGCAATGTGGTCCAAAGATGGTATGTCCACCATTCTAAAAAACATTCTGCACCTAACCTAGACAATCTAAATTCTCTGTTGATAACCGCTAAATCATGTATTCTACAGATAGATTGAGCTTCGAAATATCCTTATTACTTAACAGTGTTCTGTCTTTGTTAATAATGGAGAAGGGGGTGAGCCCTGAAATTGTTGCTTTGGTATCAGAGACATTGACCATACTTTTATTACTCTATTTGTTTGGTAAATCATTAGGAATAGGCATTCTACTTAAAATGGCAGCTGAACTTTTCTGAAAAGTTGGATTCTGTCTCAGGAAAGGGTGATTCACTCCTCTTCCTTGAAAATATAAAGTTAGCAAAAAAATACTTTGTCGCTTGTTCTAAGTGCCAAAATACTTATTATGTTCAGTAGCTGAGAACCTTAGTAATATAACTGGCATCACTGGAAGGTATGGGGGCACTTCCTGGGTTAGGACAGGATGACTTTTAAAAAAGTGATAAGCCTATGAGAAGCTGAAACCGTATCTGTTGCCTTGAATTTCCCACCAAAGAAAGTAGCTGGAAGTTGCCTCTGTTTGTCAGTGTTTTTGTTCCTCTTTTTCAGTGGAGCAACCTGGAGATCCTCAGGTTTCCTTCAGTGGGAGGTAGCTTCCTTGCTGTACTGGTATCTTACTATAGGCATCTCAGTACAATTGGAAACATGTTTTACTTCTGCAGAATGAAAAGGCAGTGTAAAATTGCTATTCCTTCAAAAAGCAGCCAGTAAACTTCTACTCTCTTCTGTTTTGGCAGCTTGGGCCAAAGTCGTGAGATTCGTCACATTTGGTCCCTAGAAATCTCTAACAAACCCAACCAGTCTGAGCCAGAAGAGCCGAAGATCCGTTTTGTCGCTGGCATCCATGGCAATGCCCCTGTTGGTACTGAGCTCCTCCTGGCTCTGGCAGAGTTCCTCTGCATGAACTACAAGAAGAACGTGGCTATCACAAAGGTGGGTGACCTGCGTGTTTGCAAGCATCTACAAGGCTGTAGCAACTAATTGTGGAATTGCTTTCTTATCAGAATAGGTGGAGCATGAAAGGAAATGTGTTAGAGCCCCATGGGAAACAGACTCAGGTAGCGCAGAATTTGAAGAGTGCAAAGGCTACTGGGGCTTTTTTCTTGGTTTGGGAATGTTCCAGATGAGGCCTTTTATATGCAGTCACTCTGGCTTATACTGTATTTTATGGGAGAGCTTTGTTCTCCAGTTTTAGCACCGTTTCATCTATTTTCAGAGCAGAAAAACTATTTGAAATACTGTTTGAAATACTACACCGGAGAATTGTTCCTTGTAAGAGTTTTAAAATATCCAAATCTGATAAGAGGATGTCCATCAAAACACTTGAATTAAACAACCACAGTACCTTTCAAATTATTGTAAAATTCCTAGGTCACATTACCTTAACAGCCACTAATATCACTTTTGAATGTTTCCCAACTACATTAAAGTCTGGGAAAGAAGGTTAAACTGCTGAAATGGTTTTAGGATGTGAAGGAGGGGCATCTTGTTCAGTAAAGGAAAGTTACTCTTTGCACTTGCTTCAAAAGCCAGCAGTTTGTGTCCAGCAGCCTTAACAAGAGCTCAGTCCTTGCCTTGCTCCAAAGTACAGGGTTTTGTCGGAGCTCCGCCATATTTTGAAGTAGGCCACTCTTCTGTTTTCCCACCGCTCCCTGATTAGGCAGAGTGAATTAATGTTCAGTGAGATGTTTTACTTCTTGTTGTCTGCATGTGTTTTTTCAGCTGATTGAGAAGACAAGAATAGTGATTGTGCCATCCCTGAATCCAGATGGGCGTGAAATTGCACAGGAAGGAGATTGTACCTCCAAAACGGGTCGAACCAATGCCAACGGCAAAGATCTGGACACAGATTTCACAAGTAAGAGCAGGTTAATCTATTCCTTTCTGGGCCATATTTTGTCTGGACCAGGATAGAAAGAAAGAGCCATACCTCTGATCCCTTGGTTATTTGATTGTTTTAGCATGTATAAATTAATCATGTGTAATCTGTTTTTGCATATAATTCTTATTTCACTCTTGTGTGTTTAGATGTCTTACCAGTGGTTTATTTATTTAATTTATATGGTTTTTAATGTTTTGAGTGTGTTAAAAACACATACAATGTGTTTTTAATGATGTCTATTGTTTTATTGATTTATTTTAACCCTCTGGTAGCCACCCAGAGTTGCATAGCAAGTGGGCTGTCATACAGATTGAAATGATAGATAGATAGATAGATAGATAGATAGATAGATAGATAGATAGATAGATAGATATGGTTCTGCTCCAGTAGCATATTGTGTATTTATATCAAAGTTGAATAGAGAGCCTGTCTCTTTTTCTGTGAGAATCTCTTGATTATTCTGTTAGGCAATTCTTCTGTGGCGAGGGAACCCGAAACAAAGGCCATCATGGAGAACCTGATACAGAAGCAAGACTTCAGCCTCTCTGTTGCCTTAGATGGAGGGTCCCTGCTTGTCACTTACCCATATGACAAGCCAGTGCAGACAGGTGAGCTGGTTCTTTCTTCCTGAGGCTTTGCAAAACAGCTTTTCAGACTGGCTCTTCTGTGTAGAGTATTTCATTCTGCTGTGGTTCTTGAGCCAAAGAACTATGGCAAAAAACTAAAAATTCTGACTCTGAATAGAAATCTGAGATTGAGCCCTACACTTCCATTGATTGTTCTCCTGGCTTCCTTTTTTTGTAGTGGAAAATAAAGAAACTCTGAAACATTTGGCTTCTGTCTATGCAAACAACCATCCTACAATGCACCTAGGACAGCCTAGCTGTCCAAACAAATCAGGTATGTGCCTACAGTGTCCTAAACCATTTGGGGCTGGATTGCTGCTTATGAAGGATGGCTGATTTCTGGCTCTTTTGCAGATGAGAATATCCCGGGAGGTGTGTTGCTTGGAGCACAATGGCACAGTCATCTAGGCAGCATGAAGGTATTTCAGAGATGGTTATTTTGGTGCTTATCATACAGTTAGTTGGTATTATTAATCAAGGTTACCAATCAGCCTTTGCTGATAGGGATTTTTTTAATAGGGTGCTGCCTTTCTTTTGTCCCAAACCCTCTTATTCTTATTTCTCCAGGATTTCAGTGTCACATATGGGCATTGCCCAGAGCTCACAGTATATACTGGTTGCTGTTACTTTCCAAGTGCAGGACAACTCCATGCTCTGTGGACAGAGAATAAGAAATCTCTTCTTAGTATGCTGGTGGAGGTGAGCTTTGATGAACTGTCACTGGATGTCAGTACAATTAGACTTTTGTTTGCAACTGCTCCAAAAGGGATAGAGATGAGACTTGATTTAAGAATCAGATCTCATGTAGCTGTTGAATACAGTGAATAGCAAATACAAGTATGGTGGGGGGAGAGGCGCATTGGTCAGCTGGGACAAAGGAATCTTTTGCTCAAATTTCTCTCAACTAAAGGTTGCTAGATGGCCTTGGGCAAACTGCTTTTCTTTCGATCTTTCATGCCACTCAGATCTTATTGGGCCTTTATGCTGGCTAGAGTACTGTAACCAAGACAGATATCCTCAGAAAAGGTATATCTATGGATTCTGCTTGGTTTATTGAGTTTATAGCCTGTTTTCATAGATGCAGTAATCCCAAGGCAGGGATGCAAACAAATTGAAGCAATTGACACAAAGTTTACAGTGAAACAGCTTAAAAGGTCGTAACACAGAACAGCCAAAATGTCAGTTGGGTGGATGAATAGATACAACTTCAGTTGACACTGAACATATACATTTTATTATGTAGAGAATCTTGTATTCCATACACGAGGAAATGTGATTGTGTACACAATGAGTACACATGGGGATGTGTTTTCCTTTACAGAAAGCACTGAGTCATTGTGTTTCCTGCCCCCTCCCCTGCCATCTTTCTTCCAGGTTCATAAAGGAGTCTATGGCTTTGTCAGAGACCAGCATGGCCGACCAGTGTCCAAAGCCCAAATTGTGTTCAATGAAGGGGTAAAAGTGTGCACCAAGGAAGGTGGCTATTTCCATGTGCTTCTCGCTCCAGGCTATCATAAGATCCATGCTATAGCTGAAGGCTATCAGCAGAAGCATGTCCAGGTATGGGAAAAGCCTCTTTGTTTTAGCACGGCTCAGCTTCGGAAGAAATGCAATGCAGTGGTTAGGTGGCGTGACTGGCAGTCCTTTTTTAAAAAAAGCAGTTAGCTGTCCCTCATATAAGAAAGACTGAATCTGAGTGACAAGGCCAATTGGGAATTCTGGGTCTGAACTATTGGCACCCTGGGGAATGATGGGGCTGTAGCCACCAAAGGGAATATACTTGCCTTCACATTTAATACTACAACATCAGATATGTGGTTCCTCTGTCTTTTCAGGGTTTACGGATCCAGCTTTTAATATTTCTATCATTCTTCATGCATATAAATAAAGTCACAGAATAGGCAAGGCTAATTCCTGGCCATTATTGTATATACATTTGTTGTTGTTGTTTCATTATTTAATTCAAGGAATCTAATATAACTTATGAGAGACAGTTTGGCATAGTGGTTAGCCAGCTGGGTTACTTTGGGCCAGTCACTCTCTCTCAGTCCTAGCAAGAAGGCAATGGCAAACTACTCCTGTTGTGCTTGGCATCTTTTATATTTATCCTTTATGTTTTATTGTAATTTCTTTCTTTGATTGTTGTGAGCCACCCAGATTCGGAGAGGTCGGGCAGCATACAAGTTTAATTTATTATTATTACTTTTGAAAATCTTCCCAAGATAACTGGAGAGACTAGTCCGGGCAGTCCAAGGGTGAACACTGACTTGAAGGCACAATCAATCAATCTCTTATAGAATAGAACCAAGATGGATTTAAAGACTGATGTGTTTTTTTTTTCTAAAATGAAATTATGGGTGTGGCCCCAGGGCCTCTCCTGAGTTGGGAATTTATTTCATTATTTCCTATGCTTAATATCTTAGTGTATTTTATAGAAACAGAATTAAAACATCAGAAATGCAATTAAAAGAAACCTTTAAACTGTATTAAAACAATAAAACAATATATTTTAAAACACATAACATGTTAAAACAATTAACTGGGTAAAGAACTATGTTTTGATCCTCTCCTAAACAGTAATAAGGAGTGAGCTTACACTCCGGTGGCAGTTTGTTCCACAACATGGGACCCACCATAAAAAAAGCAGAATTAACACAGATGTTGAATTTGTGTCTCTGGTCTACTTGAGCCCTTCTCTACCAAAGGTAGAGAAGAGTTCCATTTCTTTCTCTCCTCCCCCTTTCTTTTAATCTATCTTTCAGACATATCAACTGGAGGTCAGGGCTGACTATTTCTGCTGAAGTCAGAAAGTTACTTCACTGCAAGCTGGTTTGCTTATGCATTGTGTGATTCCTTGGCCCTGCATGAACCCATGTGATTGTTGACAAATGTGCTTTGTCTTTCCAGGTCTTGGTTCGCCATGACATGGCCAGCTTTCTGCATATACAGTTTGACATAGACAATAAGATCTTTGGGCTTCCAAGAGAGTTGGTGGTTACAGTAGCAGGTAGAACCCAGTACTGTTTTCTCTTTGGGGTGGGGGTGTTTCTGTCTGAATGGCTGTTTGAGTGGAGGCAAGCAAGCCACCTTTCACCGTTCTGGCCTTTTAAGGTGTTGAACCATTCTCCTTCTGCTTCCTCCCTGTACATTTGAATCTAGCATTCCTTGCTTACAGAGACAGCTTTATATTTAATGCATACTTACAAAATGCCTCTTCCATATCCTATCACAATAAAACAAGAGAATTCTACACTGAGTTGCTAAGCTGGTCTTGCATTTACACGTATTGGCAGATGTGAGAGGTCCTTCAAAAGAAAAGATTACTGTCCTCTCCAGAACGTAATACCTTTCTTGATCTCTGCGGAGGTAGCTGCAGGCAAGAATGTTTAACCCTGTGCACATGCCCTGAAGATAATGATGGCATCTGCATTTTCATTTCCCCTTACCTTTGCTCAGGTGCAACCATGTCAGCCCTGATCCTCACAGCCTGCATTATCTGGTGTGTGTGTTCTATCAAGTCTAACCGGCACAAAGATGGCTTCCACCGCCTACGGCAGCACCATGACGATTATGAGGACGAGATCCGCATGATGTCCACTGGCTCTAAGAAGTCGCTTCTGAGCCATGAATTCCAGGATGAAACGGACACTGAGGAGGAAACAGTTTACTCCAGCAAACACTGATCTACCAGTGGCAGGGAGCTCCCTGCAGAGACGTGTTTCACCACATTGAGCAATTTTCTCAGCCAGTGGACACAGAATGCATGACCTTCCAAATCTCCGTTCCTGGTTCATGCCAATGTCTGTTCATCCACAAGAAAGTCCTACTGTACTGCTGGCTGCTCTTCTATCTGGTGCCAGAACTGGAATCCTTTGGGCCACTTGGTTAGTGGCAGAATAGCCACTCCAATGATGGAAGCTGCCACGGAGCTGCTGGCTTTTCTAGAACTTTAAAAAAGTTTTCCTTAAACCATACTTCCGCGACTTGGGGGACTACCGCTACATGATGACTACCAAGGCTTAGTCTAAGCTGCTGTCCACTGCAGCAGACGGACACTTTGGAACTTCCTTTCTTGCCTGCCTGCCTGGAATAGTTTCCAGGGCTGGTTGCAGAGGCGTTAAAAGCACTAAACATATTCCCTTTATTAAGAAGAATAAAATTCCTTCTGCTGAGAATGACTTCGGGTTAGGTCTTTTGGGCAGATACCGACCTGAAATGTGTGTTGAGATACAGGAAATCTCCTTCTCCAGTTGAGGTTGCAGTTGTTGATTTTTAAAACACAACACTTACTTTGTTTCCTTTAATTATCTTGCACAGATCCTGCCGCAGCATTTCCGCTGGTTTTATCTGAGAACATAGGATAGCAAGAGGTGCATTTCTGTACTGAGAGAGAATAACTCCTGATAGTCTAATACTAATTGGATATTGAAATTCCAGCTTGGTGCCAAATGTTGTTTTGTAATTTTCTTTTGGAGTCTGTGGAAGCATCCGCACTACTGGTTTGTTTGGCAGGGGCTGCAGTCTAGAAAACCTTTTCATAAGAAAATCTTCTGCTTCGAAAGCATCAAGCCACTTTTTCAGGAAAATGCCTTGTTCTTTCCTTTCCATTACTGAGTCTGTTACTGCAGTTCTCTGCTCTTCTGCCAAGACTGAATTTGTGTGGAATTGTGCTGTTCTCAGATGCTTCTTCTGAATATGCCCCAACTATATAGTGGGTCTGTTCTGGAAGGGAAGTGGCACAGTGGATACTGTTCCTCACATTATATGGTGTAAGTCTAGCCTTTTATTTTTGTAGCACTTTGGTTTGAAATGTTAAATAGGGGCTTATATGTTTGGAAGAAGTGAAAAGCTGTTGTACAGCTGATAAGTACTAGTCTTGGACTAGAAGACCATCTTTAAACAAGATCACTTTCCTATTTATGCATTGGGGAGTTTAATTCCACCATTCCTTGATAACTTTAGATAGCGCATGCAGGATGAGAATATAGTTGAAAGCAACTCCAAAGGCTTACTTAAGAACTGGAAATGGATCTAGAGAATCTGTTTAGGGTCTTGTGACTACCACAAGGCCTGACCTCAGACTCCTCAAAATTCTTTCTGGTCTCTTGAAACTTGCCAGAAATGGGAACAATGACCTGTTTTGATGGCTTATTCAGTTGCTTGGTTGTACTAATAAGGATTTCCCAAAATAGTTTAGCTTCCCTTGTGAAATGTCAAACCCACTTTAAAACTGGGGCATTATAATAATAATGTTGGACTCTGGGGCCATCATTCCCAGGAAATCCATAGAGCAGATAGATCATTTTAGCTGTCAAAATGTTGACAGCTTAGTTTAAGCTACACTCTTAAACATACTACGAAGTAGGACAAATTGTGAGATTTATCTTTAAAATCAACAAGTAAATGTTTTAAGTTTATCCTTTTCCTGATCATTCTGGATCAGTTTATTTAAGCCCCTCCCATCTGCTGGAAAGTATGCAGTACTAAACCAAGTGCCTCAGTCTATTAGCATTATTGATGATCCTAGTATATCCATGCCAGTAGATTGTCATAAGGTTCAAGCAATGTTATCCCAGTTGTGTTCTGCTTTAATTGAACTTTGCTGCTTTTTGTCAAATTACCTACAACAGCTTTCTTTGAAATGAAGTTGGATAGTACTGATTCCAAATCCCTAGCTGCTACCTGTTGGGTCTTGGGGTAGATGTCTTTAATCTGTATTGGAATGTGCATTATCCTCTTCATCCCAGTCCAAAATTTAAAAGAAAAGCAGTTCAAAATCTCTTGACTAAGTGTGCCAGCAATAACTGCGGTGTCGAGTACCAGCCATAGCCTTCTTTCGACTTGCTCAAACTTTGCTAGAAACACAACTTGGAAGCCAGTCTTGCCTCAGTGTTCACAGGTGGCTGCATCTTTCTGATAGTAATTATGCATTTTTTTCTAATTAAAATAACAGGGTGGCTGCCCTTACTTTTTGTATAACACTATATGTCTTTGAGAGGCAATGTTAGCCTCGTGGCATAGAAGAATAAATTGCAGCTGCCTTGGTACGTTTGCCACTTTGATTTGGGGGGAGGGGGGTCCATGTACTGTGCCTTCAGAAGCAGATGTTGAAAGGAAGGGCTTGACTTAGGAACGCAAACCAATTAGTGTCATTGACAACTTGAAGGTCTGTACACCAAACAAGACTTCTGCAAGTGTGTTTGATTAAAATGTATGCTAAGCTCTAATCTGTATAAAATTCTTTTATGATGTCTCTCCTTTCTGTGTCTTATTTGCTTCGCCAGTTACATCACTTAGGACGTATACAATTTCTTGTTGGTTCTCTCCGTTTTGATATTTTGTCTGAAAGCGCCTCTGGAGAGCCACTTCAAAATCTTGCTCTGTCAATAGAGGCACATTCTGGAACACCTGTGTTGTTTCAGCCTCTGTCTCCATTCTCGTGCCCTTGAATCAGCGGGGGAAGAGTAACAGGAATCCGCACTTGGGCTTAATGATTGTCATCGTTGAAATCTTGGTGCCATATCCTTAGTATTACTGCAACATGATAAACTGTCCTTTGGACAACTTGGCTGTGTAATGTAGGCCCTCTTGTAGACTTCAGGAAACACTCAGTTTGGGTTTTTTTCTAGCTAGTTCAAGGATGCATAACCATTTTTGCATCATAAGCTAGCAGTTAAAACCCTGGCAAAGAAGTCCGTTGTTAAAATGTCCTAAATGCCAAGAATAGGAAGCCAAATGGCCTCCTTAGGAAGCGTGTTCCTTCGAGAGGAGGAGGAGGAGGAGGAGAAAAGAATGTTCTTAAGGAAAAGAAACAGTATTGTGTTCACACCACGCTCAAAACCACGAAAACTGGACAAACCATGGTCCAGTTAATCACGAGTAGTCATCTCATGTAAATGCAACTAATACGTTATAGTGCTTACTTTATTCTACTGGCCATTGTGTTGTGGGCAGTGGCTGTCACAAGTGAGATCCTGAAGAAATTATGTACAGACACCAGAATTACAATAAAATGTAAACCAGAGTGATATTAATAAAAGCAGTGTACTTACTTAGGGGTGCTCCCATCCTGTTTAGCCATGACAAACAGTGGTGGGAGAAGCCATTTGCCAAGCTGCGTCTGTACTTGGGGATCCTTTACTGCCCATGTTTATAGGCCCAGGCTCCCCCTTTTTATCTAGCACCAGGTGCCAGAGTGAGTGATCATGGAATTGACATTTGTGTATTTGTATCAATAAAAGTGTGTGTGGGAATGAGGACGATTTCCGGCTCCCCAAGCTGCATGCAAGAAGACAATGGGAATGGGAAGCTAGCTATGCAGCTAGCAGGAGCAAAAGGTTAACCGCATATTGCTCTAAGGCAGGGAGGCAAATTACATTGTGAGTGTGCAACGGGTCGGGGCAATCGCTTGGCTAGAGCAGGAGCACATTGTTAGGGAGCGGAAAGGTTAGAAAAGGGAAAGCCGGAAGCTTGTTCTCAGAGCTTCACAGCGCAGAGTCAACACCCAACTTCCTTGAGAAGCAGCAAGGAGAGGCTAACTTGACCAGTAAAAGGTTCATGCTCTGGTCAGCCTTGCAGAATAAGTTTATATCATCATTAAAGTCAGTGATTTATATTATATGGACCCTCCACACGTATTGAGACTACAACTCCCAGTTCCCCAACTTGAGAAGGCCTGGCCTTGGGCATAGATAAAATTGTGGTCTCTCTTCATAGAATATAAGGGACTTTGGGGATCAACCAGTCCAATCCCCTGCCCAGTGCAGGAATCCATTTAAGCAGCTCCAGTTAAGGATAGGTGACCAGTAGTCCATCGGTGAACAGCTCTTGCCATGAAAGCCCTTCAGTTCCTTGAAGACAGTGGCCTGGTCTCCCGCAGTCTTCTCATCTCCAGGCTAATCACACCCAACACCACCAACTCTTACTTCATGCTTCAATTTGCCCAGGTCCTTCCTAAAATGTGCCCAGACCTGGACACAAAATTCGAGGTGTGTTTGACCCTCTTTTTGGGTCATCTGCAAATTTGATAAGCATCATTTCCTAAACCTCGCCCAAGTCACGCAGGCATTGCTGAAGTCAAGGTAGGCCATGTCCACTGCATTCCTGTTGTCAACTAAACGGATTATCCCAAAAAGGAAAGGAATTGTTTAGGCATGGTTTATCCTTGATAAAGCCATGCTGGCTCTGGTGAAGTAATGCATTCTTTTCTGAATGCTTACAAATCGGCTGCTTAATAGTCTCTCTCAGAATTTAGCCAATACCGATCTATCGACAGTCCCCAGGTCATCTTTTCCCCCTTAATTGAAGATAGGAACATTTGCTCTTCTCTAATTCCGTGGTCTATGTCCATTCCCCACGATTCCTTAAAGGTCATAGAATGGGGCTCTAAGATGACATCCACAAGTTCCTTGAAGACTCCCAGATGTCCTGGTCTAGTCCCGAGACGTAAACTCCTCCCTAAACGTCTCTTTACTGACCTTGGGTTGCTGCTCCCTCCTCCTGTCAGCTGATCTGCTTAGGTCCATTTGGACATGGTTCTTGGGAGAGAAAAGATATAGGACTTGCTACCTCTGCATCACCTGCTGTACTTTATCCTTTCTAACTTTTTTTTCCTGCAGATGTTAGCTGCTTGCTGGTGATTACACTTTTTGTTCTTTATTACCCTTTTTTTAAATTACTCTTTGGTGATTACACCCATTATCCTCTTCCCTGAAAGTTCCGTCGTCTGCTCCAGGAGGGTTTATCCAGATCTTCTGCCTGGCTTGACATTTTATAGCACTCCTGTAATAATATCTTTGTTTTTCCCTGCTTTGTTGTGTTTTTACCTAAATACTCTTCACTGGATTCTCTCTCTCAAATTCCTGGATCTCGGTACACATATGCATTTTCTTCAGGTAGATCACCATCCTCCCCCCTTTGTGTGGCTTATTCCTTTTGAGTAAGTTGAAGCTTTCAGTCCTTGCCTTCTACGCATGAGTTTCCTCCCACCAGGTTTCAGTAATGCCTCTGAATCGTATTTGCCTTCCTGAAGTTAGACTTCTATTTCTTCCTGTTCCCCTGTACAAATATTTGCCGGGTATTTGCAAAATGACTCTTGAATTGTTGGCCAGGTAACTTGACCAATTATTCCTTCCTGTGCTTCCACGCCCATCCTACCTACCCCTCCCAGTCCTATTGGCATTGCTTGGCAGTGCGTGATGTTACGGACTCACTTCTCCCTCCCCACAGGATTCAGTTTAAAGCCCTTCAGGTCACTGCTGTGAGGTGCCTTCCAAACACATCCTGCCCAGTTCCGAGATGCAGCCCATCTCTTGCCAGGATTCCTTCATCTCAGAAAAAGATCCCATTATCCAGAAAGAGGAGTGAAGAAAGCACCATCTGTGCCCCCAGCTCCTTCGCCCTTCTGCTCAGTGCTTCCTGGTCCCTTACATAGTCTCCAGGCTTGGTCTGGCTGTGTCGTTTGTCACCCCAGATGAGAAGATTATCAGCAGGTGGAGATTCTTTCCACCACATCCCAACAGGCTGTCTGGCCAGCAAACTTCTCAGGCCTCAGTAGGCGGCCGCCACCCTTCAGGGCACAGGAGGAGGCCACACGCCCTTCCCTGTGTCCTCCTTGCCCCCTGAGCCTGTGGAGGCTGCCCAGCGAAGGCCTGCAGAGAACCTCTTCGGACGCTGCAGAGCAGAGGGCTCTTCTTGGCAGCCTTGGCCCTTTGCGCCCATTCCTCCACCTCCGCTTGGCTTTCTTCTTGGTGCTGTTGCCCTCCTACAAGCGCTTCCTGTGATGGAATGTATCTACCGGGAGGAGGAAAGTGATGTGGGAGATCAAGGCTATCAGGAAGGAGGGGGCGCATTCCAGCAGGGGAGAGGAGGCAAAAGGCAACACAGTCCGGGCGGGGAGGGGAGCGCGGGAAGCGAAAGAGGTTCAGGGTTGCTGAGCAGGGCAAAGCAGTTTGCTAAACTAGTGATCGGTGTTAGGAGAAACAAACACATATGGTCCGTAGTTTTTCTTCATGTGTAGTCTATTTACAAATAACAGTAGAGCGACTTACATCATGCAAAGAACTCAATAGCAGACACAGTTCAACAGCAACGTAGTCACAGCACAGAGAGAGAGAGCCAAAATTTGCTAGGCTCTTTTATACTACTCATAGCCAATCAGTTTGAGTTAGCTATGCCTAAGCTTTTTATTGCTCACACCTGTGAGTGAGTGAGCCAATCTGACTCTGTTCTAGCGTCAAAATTTATTTCCCTGACAAGGGTAGCCCCTCCCTAGAAGCTCCTGGGGTATATCCACTTGAAGATTGTAGTGTAGATTTAGTCTGGCAAGATTCTGTCCATAAGGTGTAAGCAAATAAAGGAACTGTACTCGACTGGACTGCTTCATCGCTGTTCTTGGGCTGGGCCTGACACTTCCTGAGCTTGTCTGAAGAGGCCCCTGTCTTCTCTGGCAACCGTGGTGGTGGTGGTGGACAGTTTTGCCTTCGGCCCCTTTGCCCTCTCTTCTATGAGGGCAATCAGCCTGCTCTGCACGTTCATGCTTTCTTGGGAGACAACAAGCATGGCACTTCCCCCAGGGGATATGAGAGCAATTCCCTCCATGTTCCTGTGATGAACAAAAACCAATAACCAAAATGCCCCCATCACTAAACTGCTCATTCAGTGAGTTCTGTTAAAAATAAGGAAGCAACCGACAAAATCAGTAGCACTGACCCAGCCCCTTTGGTTGTTCCACGGAAGTCCTTGCTGAGTATGAGATGTCTCCTCTTCCAGCTGAATCAACAAGCTTGGTGGTTTGAATTAAGTATAGGAGGAAGGACACGCTGGCCTTGCAACCTGAGAACACCTGTGGTATTGTAACCTTCAGGGGCAAAACAGCCTCTTCCAGGAACTCTTCTTCCCACCCACCATGATTGTTCACTCTTTAAACCAGCTAGGGCCAATCAAGTAAATTATGAGATTACTTCTTCCTAGATCAAGCTGCAGAACACAACACCTTGGCTCAAGCTATTCTTGGGATGCTCGTTGCCATGGGAGGTAATCACAGCCACTTAAAGAGAATCTTCCCCTGTACAAACACACAAGTACAGCCTCTAGCTTGGCTTGAGTTTTATACAAGTATCCTGGGATAGTTGTCCATGTGGGAATTGAAGGCAAACACTTAATCGCAAGAAATGGGCTTGAGAAGGAATGACGTCAGGCATTGCACTAAGATGGGGCCTGCTTACTCATGGTTTATTCAGTAAGCCAAAACTG